TTTTATTATATTTTATCAAGTAGTGCAGTGACATAATTATTATACAAAAAAAAAAGATATTTTTACTCATTTTTATTATTATATTTATTAAGTTAATTTTTAGTTTCTACAAAAAATGAGCATATGTTCGATTAAGTGACAATCAAATTTCAGACTTAAATCTGAGTGTTAAATTTTTTAATCGCTTATGTGGATCAATATGAACACGACACAAAAATAAATACCTTAAAGTCATTTCAGTGAGACAAGTTTCTCACTCATTTGAAGTCTCAATTTGTTTGTTTGTCTATTTTAGTCTATTTTATTACTCTACATAAAACCCAAGCCTCACATAAGAGAGATTGTGAAGCGAGCTTGTATCATAAGTGAAAAAGAGTGAAAACTCTAGAGAGTTATCTGTAATTCACAGTTGGGCAAATGCAGGTGGTGATCGGAACATGAATAGATTCTCCCTCTTAATGGGATTAAGGCTATCAAAGATTGGTTGATGGTTAAGAAGTTTCTTCACCCATTGTCAATTAATTTTTTTGTTAAATGTCTCTAACAATTTAGAATAAATTCGCAGTGGTTATACGATTGAAAATCTTATTAGATTAACATTTCAGTCATTTAATGAAGCTAATTGAAATTAGTTGGTCCAATTAGTTACTCCATCCGTTCCTAAATATCTGTCATTTAAGGTTTTTGCACAAGTATTAAGGAAACTATTAAATAGCTCTAGTATGAGTAAAAAATAATTACACAAGACTAAAATACTCTTATTCAATACGTATTGGAAATAAAAAGAATATGAAATACACTTAACCTACACTTAATTTATTAAGCACTTATTAGAAAACAGAGATAAAGGTAAATTTGGAAGAAAAAATATTAATTATGCTTTGGTTTCATAAAACGACAGATATTGTGGAACAAAAAAAATGAGATAAAACGATAGATATTTAGGAACAGAAGGAGTATAAGATAATTGGATGATTAATTACTGACCAATTGGAGGTAATTAAAGGGTGAATAACCTTATCTCTGCCCTACCCACACTCTACGTACAAGAACAAATTTAAGAAGATGATTTCATATGATTATAAGTTCCAAGATACAAGAACAACTTTAGTACTGTGTCCAACGTTAAAAGAAAAAAAATGTGAGGTTATAATAAAATAGGATTGTTGAAATTTCTTGAAAAAATTAGGAATCTATCTTACTTTTTTCAAAGCCGTAACTTAATTCATTGAATTGTAACACGTATTCTTTGTAATGTACTGCAATGTTTCGTTTGATAGGAACTATGGAAAGTAAAAGAGATAGAAAATAGGAGAGATCCATATACACTTCCTATCCTCCAAAAAAGAAAAGTAGAAATGATATACTTTTCTTCCTTGTGTTTGACAGTAAGTTTTAGAATTATTTGAAAAATAAGTTGTACTTTGATTCCTCCAAAATATTCTTTTAATTATAGTCATTAATTTTACACTAACGCAATGAAAAACATTTGTGATAGCTTGGATGAAAAGTTTTGGCACTTTATTCTCCAAGTATATGAAATTTTTTTACTTTGCCCATAAAATCTAATGGCACATGGGTATTTTCTTTCCAAAACTATTCCATGGGATGGGGCTTAGTCAAGATCAAGCTTGGCCTATATCGAAAATTTTTCTAGTAGGAGCCGTGGCAGCCCTCAACTAAAAAGTTATTTGTTTGCATCTTTCTATTATTAGTCTTTAGGGAAAATTATGTTTGGACTCTTTCAACTATGTTTTTGTCACTCAACTGATGAGTTTCTCATATTGTCTCCTCAATTACTTGATTAGTTTTGCATTGTCCCAAAACCAAGCATCCATCTTGTTTGAACGAAAAATAGCAAAATGTCTAAATGTATAACAAAACACATATTTTCAATCTCTACAACTTGGATAAATGAAACCATGACCATGATAAGATATGCAATATGAAAAACGTGACAACGGAGGGAAAACATATTATAGTCGAGGAGATTATGTGAGGTGTAGCATATAAGTGGAATTTGCACTCATGGTTATGGATATAAGTGGAATTTGCACTCAAGGTTATGCAAGTTAAAAGTCCAGCAACTACGGGATGCTGAGGTCAGGCTATTGGTGGGTGAGTCCTCCTTTAGTGACATATACTGAATTTAGTCCGCTAAAAAAACTTATTTAGGAGTAAGTCCGTTTTTAATCTTATTAATAAGTAGTTAAATTTATTATTTTTTTAAAATTTCAAAATGTCCTTCTAATGACTTAAAAAATAATCTTCAACATTAAATTAGTTTCCTAAACAGTCATCCTTGATTTACACTTAATGCAGATTTTTTTTCCACAAAATCTGAAATTCAAATTTAAATTTGACATCACTACCACTTCTCTCTATATCTCTCTCTCATTTTTTTTTTTGCTGAAAAGATTGTGGTTAATTTAATATTGAATGTTACTATGCATGTTACTATTTTTTTGTTGTGCATGTTACTATTTTTTTAATGAGTATGTTACTATTAATATTGAATGTTACTATTTTTCTGAATTATCAATATTTAATGTTATTTTTTTTGTTGATCATGTTACTATTATTATTATTTTTTTCAAATATTAATATTCAATGTTACTATTTTTTATTTTTGAATGTTCCTATTTTTTTTGTATTTAAGTGATACTATTTTTTGTGTTTGAATGTTACTATTTTTTATTTTTAATGTTACTATATATATATATGAGGGAGAGAGAAATAAATAATTTTATTCTATATATAGATATAGATAGATATGAAATTTTTTTTTTAATATTAGTCAAACTTCTAAAATTCAAGAATTGTTAGTTTTCAAATTTGTTGTAATTAAATATAACTAATGAGGGTATTTTAGACAATGAAGATTAAAATGAACTTAATATTAAACAAATTTTCTTGATGGACTTATCACCAAAAAAAGTCCACAAAGAGAGACTGACCTCCCAATTTTTCTTTTTTTATTTGGGATTAGGGGTTTGTTGGAGAAAAAATTACTCCAGGTCACTGTTTGGTTCATGATATCTCTCTGGGCATCGTTATCGAGGCCTTCACTTTCATGAAGAAAAATCTTGGCCAGTGGGGAAAGAAACATCAAACATACTTCGGTAGAGAGGGCTATTATTGTATACTCATTCTACATACGATTCCCTAATAATTGTCCTATGAAAAAAATATCTTCTCCTTCACAGTAGAAATAAGGTTGACTTTGATTTGACCTGTTAAAAATTAGTGGCTCTTCTTCATCTAATTTGTCATCTAACATTTTAGGTGCATTTCAATCTACGGCCCTTCACAAAAAAATATCTTCTCCTTCACAGTAGAAATAAGGTTGACTTTGATTTGACCTGTTAAAAATTAGTGGCTCTTCTTCACCTAATTTGTCATCTAACATTTTAGGTGCATTTCAATCTACGGCCCTTCACAAAAACCTCTACAGATTTGTTGGTGTGAGGCCAGCTTCCAATTATTTCAGAAAACAAGAAGCTGCAAATCAGTAAGTTGTAGAATTGTATAATTATTTGCCTTGATTATTTGTAAAATAAATTCTATTACGCTTCCTTCAAAGTACTCTTCTAAATATGATCATTACTTTTACACTAACCAAATAACGATCATTCGTGATAGATTGGACAAAAAATTTTGCCGCTCCATCTGCAAAAGTATGAGTTTTTTCAGGTTGCTCCCAAAATCTAATGACACATTGACATTTTCTGTCGAAAACATACTTGATAATGAAGGGTGCATTGGCTACAAAGCCGGCTCATGGTGGCCCGAAGCCCGTAGGCTACAAACGGCCCACGGGCTAGCCCCGCCATTGAAAGCCATGTGCATTTGATTACGTGAATTGTAGGAAATGAATCTAATCTACCTTATAAATTAATGGCTGCTCACTACTTTCTTTGTCATCAACATTTTTTCAGTCCAAGCAAATCGCTTATTTCAGAAGAAAAGCCGACGAACAAAAGAAGGAAGTTGAAAATCAGTAAGTTGTGTAATTTTATAAGCATTTGTTTTGATTATCCAAGTATTGTAATATAAATGTGCATGTTTACTTCCATATACTCAGTGTAGTTTCCTAGTTTAACACGTTTTGATATAGTTCACCCCTCGTTACATGGAGTAAATATTCATTGCAACGGTAATATTACTTCGTCATTAGTGACACGTGGTATCACCAACTAATAAGAATACATCATATAAATATAAGTGAACTCAACTATTCAAACGTGTTAGTTAGTCAACGTGGTAGTTATTAACAATTACTAAATAATGGAATACACCACATACACATGATATATTATCATTGGTTGGTGATACCATGTATCGCTAATGACGTGATATAACTGTTGCAAGGAATATTTTCTCCGTAGTGAGAAATTTTGAAGAGCTAATTACACTTTTTTCCTTTCAAATGTTCTAAAATTTAATTTGCACCCTTAATGTTAAATAATCACATATTGACCCTTTATTTTTCAAACTTGTATGTAGCAACGTGCCCCAATTAGTAATTGAATGACATTTCCTTTTCCTCCATAAAGATATAAATATATGATATGTTTACTCCTGAAAGATTTTAAAATTGGACCTGTGTGGAAAAGCAGTGAGGTTTTACACTTGAACTTAAACTATCAAAAGAGACCTATTGAAACGGTTTTAAAAAGTTTAAGGGTCAAATTGAAATAACTAAAAGTTTAAAACAATCCAAAATTTATAACAGACATTAATCATTAAGATATTCAAAATAAATCACAAAGTTAAAGGTAAAATGTGAAAAACATATTAGTTAAAGAGACAATCTGAAAAAAGTCATGGTTAAGAGAGAGACCAACCTCATGTGTTTGGACTTCTAGGCCTATCATGTCCCATCTTGTGTATTTACTAAATGTTCATTTGACAAAAGTGGCATAGGCTTTCCACCTTGTTTTTTTCAAAAGATGTCTAATTTTTTTCAGTGTGGTTTCATATTGGTTTGAGATTTTTTTATGCGGCATGTGAAGTAAAATATCTTTTGAAATATTCTTAGATACTTGTTTGTCATTCTACATAAATTGTGAAGGAAAATCAGATGTCTCAGTTGTCTATTTGCATCGCCGAAAAGCTTGCTACTTTACCATCTACACCCTATAAACCTTACCTGTTCAGAATAAACGATGCACTACGTAGAGAGAACAGTGAAGCATACGAACCAGAAATAGTAGCAATTGGTCCTTATCACCGCGGCAAAGTTAAGATACAAATGATGGAAGAACACAAACTATTGTACCTGCAAGAGTTGCTTAAACGGAGAAATGAGTTGAGTGTGGATATGTATGTCATAGCCATGCAAGAATTGGAACAAAAAGCTAGAAAGTGTTATGCTGAACCCATTAAAATGAACAGGGATGAGTTTGTGGAAATGATGCTACTTGATGGGTCCTTTATAATCGAGTTATTTCGCAAGTTCTCTTGTGAAGAACAGGAACAGATAGATGACCCTATTTTTCAAGCAAGTGTCATTTGGCTGAATATACGCTGTGATCTTTTGTTATTTGAGAATCAACTTCCATTCTTTGTCCTCTCCAAGTTATTTGACATGAGCAAAGATCCAAACCATGGAGACCCACAAGAGAATATTTTAATCTTAGCTCTCAGGTTTTTACTTGATGCCATTCCAGATATCTCGTATTTCAGACATGCTAAAATGCCACATAACAATGTCAATCATCTTTTGGGTCTTGTACATGATACTTGTGTTGGGATTTAACACGATTTAAATCCACTAACAAACACACACAATCGAAGAACAAATCAAGAATATAAAGCAATAAGAAACAAGAAAGAACAAGACATAGATTTTACGTGGTTCGGCAATTTGCCTACGTCCACGAAGCTGCAGGGATTTCACTATTGAGAGAGTTGAATACAGAGAGCGACTGTACAATCCACGATTAACCCTAATCACCAAAACAACAGGGTTTATATGTCCTACGCACTGGGCTGTATAACGGGCTCAGAAAATTTTTCATTAAAAAACCACATAATATTACTTCGGGTCGGGTCATCATCCGGATCACATATACAAACTAGACTCCATAAAAAAAAAACCAACAACTTGGTGTTCTTCATTTGCTAAAATGGTAGATGCAAACCAAGAAACAGAATGGAATTTTATAAAATGTACCACAGAACTTAGAGAAGTTGGAATTAAATTCGAGAAGGCTACAGAAAGTTTCTCATTGTTGGATGTAAACTTCGAACATGGAAAAATGAAAATCCCTCCTCTAAATATTGAAGATGATACAGAGGTCTTCTTCAGAAACCTGATGGCATTCGAGGAATATAATGGGAGAACTGAACCAAATTATGTGATTGATTATGCCAAGGTCATCGATTGCCTCATCAATTTCCCGAAGGATGCTGAAAAACTTCACCATTATGGAATTATTGATAACTGGTTAGGTGATGATAAAGTGGTTTCTACATTGTTTAACAAATTGGGCAATCAAATCAGCATAAATTCTGCGACGTTTTGCTACTTGAAAGTTTTCAACAAAGTGAACAAGCACTGCGAACGTCGTCGGCATACATGGATGGCCAAAGTAAAGCATAATTATTTCAATAGCCCGTGGTCTACCATTTCAGTGGTTGGGGCTGGTGTGTTGCTAATACTCACTGCGATACAAACTGTATATTCTATCTTATAAATCTAGTTTTAAATCTAATTTGATGTACTTACCCACCCCCTCAGTCAATAAATATTATGTTTCAAATAAGTGCTATTCATTGTGTTAAGACAACATGTTTTTTTGGAAATGTTAAGTAAAATTTCACTGCAGTTTGGAGCAAACTGTAAGGTTGGTTTCCATGGCGTTGTAAACTAAGAACTTATATTTGGAATTCAAATGAGTATGCTATTAAACAACCAAATGGAGTTCGACTAATTTTTTTTTCGAAAGATAAAATGATGCTATTGATTCAAAAAAGACAAGATACAGGAGGGTGAATTCCCTTACAAACAATAGGAATCCACTATTAAAAGCCAAACTATTGAATTCTGGGGGAAGTGAGGATGGTTGTCCAGACTTCCAACAAAATGCATAAGGGAAGAGAATAGCCCAAACAATTATTGGGGATTTGCCACAATTGAGCGAGTCACAGGTTTCTGTTAGTGGGCTTGAATCTGAGAGAAGCAGTTCTGTCTCTAATAGTTTGGACAATGAGGGTGAGGAGGGAGGAGTGGTCCCTAGACTTGTCTTGGTGAATTCTAATGTTTCTTTCCATCCAAATGTTATAAATTGAAACAACAAGACTGAGCTTTAGGAGGGCGGTGCACATAGAATTACCTTTCCAATTCTGGCTTGCATAATTGATGATCCCCTGCCATGACATGTTTTGCATTTGCTGCCAACTGAGGAGTGGCAATTGGGCCTAAATATAATGAGAGAAATAGCATTCAAAGAATAAATAGGCATGTGACTTGGATGATGAGTTACAAAGAGAGCATTCCAAACTAATTTCAGCAAAAAAATATTGGTTTCTGTCTTTGGTGCTGAGTTTGGATATGATGGCAAGCCACAAAATGAAGGATCACACATGAGTTGAAAAATTAATTAGGGACGACTTTGACATTATTAAATTCTAATCCTGATTACCAATATCTGAGTGGAGGGTATTATTGTAAATTTTTTTAACGGATATATTTACAACAGGAGTGTGTACAAACCTCAATGAGTCTATATGTAATATTTCAAATGTTAGAGGGTCTGAGTTATTAAGTGACAAACTTAGGGGGTCTAAGTGTAACTCTCCCTATGAGAAATTGTAAGTTTCTAGAAACACATTTAAAAGTTACCCCAAACACACCCTTAGGAGCCTATTTTTCCTATTAAATTTTAAATTTGGGGTATTAATATGAGCCCTTGGATTAACTTTAAAATAAAATTTAAAAAGATCTTAACCGAGAAAAGTAAAAATCATTTTGTTTATTTTTTTTTAGATTTGAATTGTATTGTAATTTATTAGATAAATTGTCCAAAATTTCTTCAAAAAATTTGGAATCTGTCTTATCTTTTTCGAAGCGGTAACTTACTTCATCAAATTGTAAGCATCGTAATCGTTTGTAATGTACTTGAAATAAACTATAGTAATCATTATTTATTTATAATTTTTGACACAACATCTCTTTGGACATCGTAATCAGGCCCATGCAAAAATATCTTCACTTTGATGAAGAAACATCAGGGGACTAAGGAAAGAAACAAACTTGGCAATGGCTATTTTTGTATTTTCATTCCATGTACGATTCCCTAATAATTGTCCCATGAAAAAACATCTTCTCCTTCACAGAAGGAAACTGCTTGAGTAGACCTATTATAAATTAGTTGCTCTTGTTCACCAAATTTGTCATCCAATATTTCAACTGCATTTCAATCTTCACCTCCTTACAAAAAACCATTACAAATCTGCTAGTGTGAGGCAAGCTTTCCAATTAAATCAATTATTTGCTTCAGAAGACAAAGAAGCTGCAAATCAGTAAGTTGTAGAATTATTTGAAAAATAAGTTGTACTTTGATTCCTCCAAAGTATTCTTTTAATTATAGTCATTAATTTTACACTAACGCAATGGAAAACATACGCGATAGCTTCGATCAAAAGTTTTGGCACTCAATTCTCCAAGTATATGAAATTTTTTCACTTTGCCCGTAGAATCTAATGGTACATGGGTATTTTCTTTCCAAAACTATTCCATGGGATGGGGATTAGCCAAGATCAAGCCTGGCCGGTATCAAAAATATTCCGAGTAGGAGCCCTGGACGGCCCTTAGCTAAAAAGTTATTTGTTTGCATCTTTCTATTATTAGTCCTTAGGAAAAATCATGTTTGGACTCTTTCGACTATGTTTTGTCACTCAACTGATGAGTTTTTCCCATTGTCTCCTTAACTACGAGATTAGTTTCGCATTGTCCCAAAACCAATCATCCGTCTTGTTTGAACGAAAAACAACAAAATGTCTAATGTTTTCAATCTCCACAACTTGGATAAATGAAACCCATAACCATGATAAGATGTGCAAGGTGAAAAAACGTGACAATGGAGGGAAAAAATATGATAGTTGAGGAGATGATGTAGGTTGTAGGATATAAGTGGAATTTACACTCCAGGTTATGAAACTTAAAAGCTCGGAACTACAGGGTGCTAATGATGATGATGTTGGGGCAGTGGAGGTAATGATGGGCTATTAATGAATAATCATCCCACACACGATTCCCTAATAATTGTCCAATGAAACAATATCTTCTCCTTCACAGAAGGAAACTGGTTGAGTAGACCAATTATAAATTAGTTGCTCTTGTTCAGCAAATTTTCATCCAATATTTCAACTGCATTTCAATCTTCACCTCCGCACAAAAAACCTTTACAAATCTGCTGGTGTGAGGCAAGCTTTCCAATTAAATCAATTATTTGCTTCAAAAGACAAAGAAGCTGCAAATCAGTAAGTTGTAGAATTATTTGAAAAATAAGTTGTACTTTGATTCCTCCAAAGTATTCTTTTAATTATAGTCATTAATTTTACACTAACGCAGTGGAAAACATTCGTGATGGCTTTGATGAAAAGTTTTGGCACTTTTTTACCCAAGTATATGAAATTTTTTCACTTTGCCCGTAGAATCTAATGGCACATGGGTATTTTCTTTCCCAAACTATTCCACGGGATGGGGCTTAGCCAAGATCTAGTCTGGCCAGTATAAAAAAATTTTCGAGTAGGAGCCCTGGACGGCCCTGAGCTAAAAAGTTATTTGTTTGCATCTTTGTATTATTAGTCCTTAGGAAAAATTATGTTTGAACTCCTTCAACTATGCTTTAACACCCAACTGATGAGTTTTTCCCATTTTCTCCTTAACTACGTTATTAGTTTTGCATTGTCCCAAAACCAACCATCCATCTTGTTTGAACAAAAAACAACAAAATGTCTAATGTTTTCAATCTCCACAACTTGGATAAATGAAACCCATAACTCTAATAAGATGTGCAATGTGAAAACACGTGACAATGGAGGGAAAAATATTATAGTTGAGGAGATGATGTAGGTTGTTGGATATAAGTGAAATTAACACATCGGGTTATGCAAGTTAAAAGCTCGGTATTGCAGGGTGCTAATGATGATGATGTTGGGGCAGTAGAGGTAATGATGGGCTATTATTGAATAATCACCCCACGTACGATTCCCTAATAATTGTCCCATGAAAAAATATCTTCTCCTTTACACAAGGAAACTGGTTGAGTAGACCTATTTTAAATTTGTTACTCTTGTTCATCAAATTTGTCATCCAATATTTCAGCTGCATTTCAAGCTTCACCTCCTCACAAAAAAACTTTACAAATCTGCTGGTGTGAGGCAAGCTTTCCAATTAAATCAATTATTTGCTTCAAAAGACAATGAAGCTGCAAATCAGAAAGTTATAGAATTATTTGAAAAATAAGTTGTACTTTGATTCCTACAAAGTATTCTTTTAATTATAGTCATTAATTTTACACTAACGCAGTGAAAACATTCGTGATAGCTTGGATGAAAAGTTTTGGCACTTTATTCTCTAAGTATATTAAATTTTTTCACTTTGCCCGTAGAATCTAATGGCACATGGGTATTTTCTTCCCAAAACTATTACATGGGATGGGGATTAGCTAAGATCAAGTCTGGCCTGTATCAAAAAAAATTCGAGTAGAAGCCCTGGATGGCCCTTAGCTAAAAAGTTATTTGTTTGCATCTTTCTATTATTAGTCCTTAGGAAAAATTATGTTTGGACTCTTTCAACTATGTTTTGTCACTCAACTGATGAGTTTTTCCCATTGTCTCCTTAACTACGTGATTAGTTTTGCATTGTCCCAAAACCAACCATCCGTCTTGTTTGAACGAAAAACAACAAAATGTCTAATGTTTTCAATCTCCACAACTTGGATAAATGAAACCCATAACCATGATAAGATGTGCAATGTGAAAAAACGTGACAATGGAAGGAAAAAATATTATAGTTGAGGAGATGATGTAGGTTGTAGGATATAAGTGGAATTTACACTCCAGGTTATGCAACTTAAAAGCTCGGAACTACAGGGTGCTAATGATGATGATGTTGGGGCAGTGGAGGTAATGATGGGCTATTAATGAATAATCATCCCACACACGATTCCCTAATAATTGTCCAATGAAACAATATCTTCTCCTTCACACAAGGAAACTGGTTGAGTAGACCAATTATAAATTAGTTGCTCTTGTTCAGCAAATTTGTCATCCAATATTTCAACTGCATTTCAATCTTCACCTCCGCACAAAAAACCTTTACAAATCTGCTGGTGTGAGGCAAGCTTTCCAATTAAATCAATTATTTGCTTCAAAAGACAAAGAAGCTGCAAATCAGTAAGTTGTAGAATTATTTGAAAAATAAGTTGTACTTTGATTCCTCCAAAGTATTCTTTTAATTATAGTCATTAATTTTACACTAACGCAGTGGAAAACATTCGTGATAGCTTGGATGAAAAGTTTTGGCACTTTATTCTCCAAGTATATGAAATTTTTTCACTTTGCCCGTAGAATCTAATGGCACATGGGTATTTTCTTTCCCAAACTATTCCACGGGATGGGGCTTAGCCAAGATCAAGCCTGGCCAGTATAAAAAATTTTTCGAGTAGGAGCCCTGGACGGCCCTTAGCTAAAAAGTTATTTGTTTGCATCTTTCTATTATTAGTCCTTAGGAAAAATTATGTTTGGACTCTTTCAACTATGTTTTGTCACTCAACTGATGAGTTTTTCCCATTGTCTCCTTAACTACGTGATTAGTTTTGCATTGTCCCAAAACCAACCATCCGTCTTGTTTGAACGAAAAACAACAAAATGTCTAATGTTTTCAATCTCCACAACTTGGATAAATGAAACCCATAACCACGATAAGATGTGCAATGTGAACAAACGTGACAATGGAGGGAAAAAATATTATAGTTGAGGAGATGATGTAGGTTGTAGGATATAAGTGGAATTTACACTCCAGGTTATGCAACTTAAAAGCTCGGAACTACAGGGTGCTAATGATGATGATGTTGGGGCAGTGGAGGTAATGATGGGCTATTAATGAATAATCATCCCACACACGATTCCCTAATAATTGTCCAATGAAACAATATCTTCTCCTTCACAGAAGGAAACTGGTTGAGTAGACCAATTATAAATTAGTTGCTCTTGTTCAGCAAATTTTCATCCAATATTTCAACTGCATTTCAATCTTCACCTCCGCACAAAAAACCTTTACAAATCTGCTGGTGTGAGGCAAGCTTTCCAATTAAATCAATTATTTGCTTCAAAAGACAAAGAAGCTGCAAATCAGTAAGTTATAGAATTATTTGAAAAATAAGTTGTACTTTGATTCCTCCAAAGTATTCTTTTAATTATAGTCATTAATTTTACACTAACGCAGTGGAAAACATTCGTGATAGCTTGGATGAAAAGTTTTGGCACTTTATTCTCCAAGTATATGAAATTTTTTCACTTTGCCCGTAGAATCTAATGGCACATGGGTATTTTCTTCCCAAAACTATTACATGGGATGGGGATTAGCTAAGATCAAGTCTGGCCTGTATCAAAAAAAATTCGAGTAGAAGCCCTGGATGGCCCTTAGCTAAAAAGTTATTTGTTTGCATCTTTCTATTATTAGTCCTTAGGAAAAATTATGTTTGGACTCTTTCAACTATGTTTTGTCACTCAACTGATGAGTTTTTCCCATTGTCTCCATAACTACGTGATTAGTTTTGCATTGTCCCAAAGTGAAAATTTTCAACTTCAAATTTTTTTTAAGATAAAGTAGTTTCACGATTGTTGTTTTAATTTGATGTATTTTGATATTATTTTATTGGGAAGAGAGAAAAAAAATTCATACTTTTTTTAAGGGGTATTGTTGGCAATGGCAACTTTTAAAAGTACATCTTAGGACGTTGGTGTGAAAAAATGATCGAACACAATTCAATCCTCCCCAATCTTAATGTTGCCAAAACACAATTTGGATTTCTTAGTTTTTTGCAATTTATTTTTCTTTGTGGCAGGAGAAGTAAAATATATTCTGAAAAATTCCTAGATAGTTTTGTGCTTTTAACTATCCACTCGCATGGATGGAAAAGCTTGCTATCTTTCCATCTCCACCATTTGACCCTTATATTTTTAAAGTAAATGACCAAATATGCAGGGAAAAGAAGAAAGCTGACGGACCGGAAATGCTCACAATTGATCCTTATATTTAAGTCACAATTGACCAAATATTTTTTTCAGTACTATACCTCTAAAGTTTATAAGTTTTATGAGTTTTCACACAAGTTTATGAGTTTATTTACAAGCAAAATCATTCTACAATTTTTAAGGTTCAAATTATAATTTTTTCAATTTTTGATTCCAAATTAATTTTTGAAAGAATTATACTCAGAGCCCTTGAAGTTTGTCACTTAATCACTCAGATCTCCTGACATTTAAAATATTATACACAGATCCCTTAAAATTTGTATACACGTAACATTTAGATTTCTACTGTTAATGTCCATTAATATATCCGTTAATAAATTATATCATGATCCCTTAAATTTGTTAAACTAATGATGTGATTGCATTAAAATCATTAAATTAACATCAAATTCTAATGTTTGATGAAATTCAAAATTAATTTAAAAATTATAATAAATTAGGTCGATAATTCCAAATTAATATTTTGTAGTACATCTTTACATTTGGTTTGTTTTATTATGTAATTATCTTCTTTTTATTATGAGTCTCCTACAACATCAATGCTGACATAATACTGACAACGTAGTAACTCCTCCATTAAATTCCAACTGCCTCGTGCACTGCCTTCGTCATTAATGTGCATCCTGTGAATTTACACTTTTACTATCCTTTCTTAATCACTTTTTATTTTTGTATTTCGTGTGTTGACGTGGAAGGATTGGTTTAAGGAAATTGGTAGGTGGTTAAAGAATATTAGATTAAGGATCACACATGAGTTGAAAAATAATTAGGGGTGACTTTGACATTATTAAATTCAAATCCTAATTACCAATATCCCAATGGAGGGTATTATTGTAAAATGCTCAGAGAACAAAGGTATTTTTGTAATTTTTTGACTTAGATTAACATTTCATTAGTTTATAATGGAGCCAATTGAAATTAGTTGGTCCAATTAATTGTGAGATAATTGGATGATTAATGACCAATTGGAGCTATAATAAAGGGATGAGACTAATTTATAACAGCCCACAATACTGGTCGTTTAACAACAGGGGGAGAAAATAAAATAAAATAAATTAACGGATTAGAATTGATCATTTCTCGATACGAATTGATGAATGACACAACCCATTAATTAATATTTATTTGTGACTTTTGATAAGATATCTCTTTAGACATTGTAATCAAGCTCATGGAAAACTATCTCCATTTTCAAAAAGAAACATATTGGCTAGTGAGGAAAGAAACATACTTGGGTAGCGAGGGGTATTATGGTATTTTGATTCCACGTACGATTACCTACTAATTGTCCTATGAAAAAATATCTTCTCCTTCACATAAGGAATATGGTTGAGTAGACCTATTATAAATTAATTGCTCTTCGTTGCTTAATTTGTCATTCAACAATTCCGTTGCAATTGAATCTACATCCCCTCACAAAAGCCTTCACAAATTTGCTGGTGTGACGCAAACTTCCAATTAAAGCAATTATTTTGCAAGACAAAGAAGCTGCAAATCAGTAAGTTGTTGAATTCTATAATCATTTGTCTTGATTAGTTGAAAAATAAGCTGTATTTCGATTCTTTCAAAGTACTCTTCTAATTGTGCTCATTACTTTTACACTAACCAAATAACAAACATTCGTGATAGATTGGATGAAAAATTTTGCCACTTAATCTCCAGCAGTATGTGTTTTTTCACTTTGTTCTAGGATGGCAGTAGACCAGAAAAAAATCAAGTATTCGTTCTAACTCATTTTTTTTGGATCGGAATAGACTATACATATTGAACGATTGACGTTTATGAAAATACCCGTATAAACTCGTGCGAGAATGGAGGCGGGGATAAACTGAAATTCATCCCATCTCTGCCTCCGCCACTCCTTGCTAAACCTGTGAATTTGCATCTTTCTTGCAAATTCATTTGAGGTTTTATTAATTTTTTTTTCAATTTTTTTCCTAAAAGCATAAAAATTAATTGTTATGGACATGAATGAATATCAAAATTTACCAACGGGTCGGGGGCGAGAATTAAATTCCCCTCCCCCCAAAAAAAATAGGGATGGAGGAATATTTTTTAAACTAATACGGGATAGAAACTACTCCTGCAACCCCCACTCTAGTCCACTGTCATCCTTACTTTGCCCCCAAAATCCGAAAAAAAAATTGAAGGGGGGATCGGCTAGAAAGCCGGCTCGTAGCGACCCAAAGCCCACCCACTACAACCAGTCCACTAGCTAGCCCGACTGCATTTTTTTTTTTGAACGCCTAGCCCTCCAGTTCAAAGCCATGTATGTGTGAATTAATTGGCTTACGCTTGAACCATGCCATGGGTAAATAACTATTTCATAAGTTATATATATGATATTTCATTCATAAATTTATTGCCCACCCGTTTTGTGCCATGGCCTATCCCATTTCCCCATGGGAGGGTCCGGATTAAGTGTCAGGCTCTAGTAGGGCTGGACTATTCCATGGGATGGGGCTTAGCCAAGATCAAGCCTTCCTAAATATCTGTCATTTAAGGTTTTTGCACAAGTATTAAGGAAACTATTAAATAGCTCTAGTATGAGTAAAAAATAATTACACAAGACTAAAATACTCTTATTCAATACGTATTGGAAAGAAAAAGAATATGAAATACACTTAACCTACACTTAATTTATTAAGCACTTATTAGAAAACAGAGATAAAGGTAAATTTGGAAGAAAAAATATTAATTATGCTTTGGTTTCATAAAACGACAGATATTGTGGAACAAAAAAAATGAGATAAAACGACAGATATTTAGGAACAGAAGGAGTATAAGATAATTGGATGATTAATTACTGACCAATTGGAGGTAATTAAAGGGTGAATAACCTTATCTCTGCCCTACCCACACTCTACGTACAAGAACAAATTTAAGAAGATGATTTCATATGATTATAAGTTCCAAGATACAAGAACAACTTTAGTACTGTGTCCAACGTTAAAAGAAAAAAAATGTGAGGTTATAATAAAATAGGATTGTCTGAAATTTCTTGAAAAAATTAGGAATCTATCTTACTTTTTTCAAAGCCGCAACTTAATTCATTGAATTGTAACACGTATTCTTTGTAATGTACTGCAATGTTTTGTTTGATAGGAACTATGGAAAGTAAAAGAGATAGAAAGTAGGAGAGATCCATATACATTTCCTATCCTCCAAAAAAGAAAAGTAGAAATGATATATTTTTCCTCCTTTGACAGTAAGTTTTAGAATTATTTGAAAAATAAGTTGTACTTTGATTCCTCCAAAATATTCTTTTAATTATAGTCATTAATTTTACACTAACGCAATGAAAAACATTTGTGATAGCTTGCATGAAAAATTTTGGCACTTTATTCTCCAAGTATATGAAATTTTTTTACTTTGCCCATAGAATCTAATGGCACATGGGTATTTTCTTTCCAAAACTATTCCATGGGATGGGGCTTAGTCAAGATCAAGCTTGGCCTGTATCGAAAATTTTTCTAGTAGGAGCCGTGGACAGCCCCTCAACTAAAAAGTTATTTGTTTGCATCTTTCTATTATTAGTCTTTAGGGAAAATTATGTTTGGACTCTTTCAACTATGTTTTTGTCACTCAACTGATGAGTTTCTCATATTGTCTTCTCAATTACTTGATTAGTTTTGCATTGTCCCAAAACCAAGCATCCATCTTGTTTGAACGAAAAATAGCAAAATGTCTAAATGTATAACAAAACACATATTTTCAATCTCTACAACTTGGATAAATGAAACCATGACCATGATAAGATATGCAATATGAAAAACGTGACAACGGAGGGAAAAAATATGATAGTCGAGGAGATTATGTGAGGTGTAGCATATAAGTGGAATTTGCACTCATGGTTATGGATATAAGTGGAATTTGCACTCAAGGTTATGCAAGTTAAAAGCCCAGCAACTACGGGATGCTGAGGTCAGGCTATTGGTGGGTGAGTCCTCCTTTAGTGACATATACTGAATTTAGTCCGCTAAAAAAATTTATTTAGGAGTAAGTCCGTTTTTAATCTTATTAATAAGTAGTTAAATTTATTATTTTTTTAAAATTTCAAAATGTTCTTCTAATGACTTAAAAAATAATCTTCAACATTAAATTAGTTTCCTAAACAGTCATCCTTGATTTACACTTAATGCAGATTTTTTTTCCATAAAATCTGAAATTCAAATTTAAATTTGACATCACTACCACTTCTCTCTATATCTCTCTCTCATTTTTTTTTTTGCTGAAAAGATTGTGGTTAATTTAATATTGAATGTTACTATGCATGTTACTATTTTTTTGTTGTGCATTTTACTATTTTTTTTAATGAGTATGTTACTATTAATATTGAATGTTACTATTTTTCTGAATTATCAATATTTAATGTTATTTTTTTTTGTTGATCATGTTACTATTATTATTATTTTTTTCAAATATTAATATTCAATATTACTATTTTTTATTTTTGAATGTTCCTATTTTTTTTGTATTTAAGTGATACTATTTTTTGTGTTTGAATGTTACTATTTTTTATTTTTAATGTTACTATATATATATATGAGGGAGAGAGAAATAAATAATTTTATTCTATATATAGATATAGATAGATATGAATTTTTTTTTTAATATTAGTCAAACTTCTAAAATTCAAGAATTGTTAGTTTTCAAATTTGTTGTAATTAAATATAACTAATGAGGGTATTTTAGACAATGAAGATTAAAATGAACTTAATATTAAACAAATTTTCTTGATGGACTTATCACCAAAAAAAGTCCACAAAGGGAGATTGACCTCCCAATTTTTCTTTTTTTTATTTGGGATTAGGGGTTTGTTGGAGAAAAAATTACTCCAGGTCATTGTTTGGTTCATGATATCTCTCTGGGCATCGTTATCGAGGCCTTCACTTTCATGAAGAAAAATCTTGGCCAGTGGGGAAAGAAACATCAAACATACTTCGGTAGAGAGGGCTATTATTGTATCTTCTCCTTCACAGTAGAGATAAGGTTGACTTTGATTTGACCTGTTAAAAATTAGTGGCTCTTCTTCACCTAATTTGTCATCTAACATTTTAGGTGCATTTCAATCTACGGCCCTTCACAAAAACCTCTACAGATTTGTTGGTGTGAGGCCAGCTTCCAATTATTTCAGAAAACAAGAAGCTGCAAATCAGTAAGTTGTAGAATTGTATAATTATTTGCCTTGATTATTTGTAAAATAAATTCTATTACGCTTCCTTCAAAGTACTCTTCTAAATATGATCATTACTTTTACACTAACCAAATAACGATCATTCGTGATAGATTGGACAAAAAATTTTGCCGCTCCATCTGCAAAAGTATGAGTTTTTTCAGGTTGCTCCCAAAATCTAATGACACATTGACATTTTCTGTCGAAAACATACTTGATAATGAAGGGTGCATTGGCTACAAAGCCGGCTCATGGTGGCCCGAAGCCCGTAGGCTACAAACGGCCCACGGGCTAGCCCTGCCATTGAAAGCCATGTGCATTTGATTACGTGAATTGTAGGAAATGAATCTAATCTACCTTATAAATTAATGGCTGCTCACTACTTTCTTTGTCATCAACATTTTTTCAGTCCAAGCAAATCGCTTATTTCAGAAGAAAAGCCGACGAACAAAAGAAGGAAGTTGAAAATCAGTAAGTTGTGTAATTTTATAAGCATTTGTTTTGATTATCCAAGTATTGTAATATAAATGTGCATGTTTACTTCCATATACTCAGTGTAGTTTCCTAGTTTAACACGTTTTGATATAGTTCACCCCTCGTTACATGGAGTAAATATTCATTGCAACGGTAATATTACTTCGTCATTAGTGACACGTGGTATCACCAACTAATAAGAATACATCATATAAATATAAGTGAACTCAACTATTCAAACGTGTTAGTTAGTCAACGTGGTAGTTATTAACAATTACTAAATAATGGAATACACCACATACACATGATATATTATCATTGGTTGGTGATACCATGTATCGCTAATGACGTGATATAACTGTTGCAAGGAATATTTTCTCCGTGAGAAATTTTGAAGAGCTAATGACACTTTTTCCTTTTAAATGTTTTAAAATTTAATTTGCACCCTTAATGTTAAATAATCACGTATTGACCCTTTATTTTTCAAACTTGTATGTAGCAACGTGCCCCAATTAGTAATTGAATGACATTTCCTTTTCCTCCATAAAGATATAAAAATATGATCTGTTTACTCCTGAAAGATTTTAAAATTGGACCTGTGTGGAAAAGCAGTGAGGTTTTACACTTGAACTTAAACTATCAAAAGAGATCTATTGAAATGGTTTTAAAAAGTTCAAGGGTCAAATTGAAATAACTAAAAGTTTAAAACAATCCAAAATTTAGAACAGACATTAATCATTAAGATATTCAAAATAAATCACAAAGTTAAAGGTACAATGTGAAAAACATATTAGTTAAAGAGACAATCTGAAAAAAGTCATGGTTAAGAGAGAGACCAACCTCGTGTGTTTGGACTTCTAGGCCTATCATGTCCCATCTTGTGTATTTACTAAATGTTCATTTGACAAAAGTGGCATAGGCTTTCCACCTTGTTTTTTTCAAAAGATGTCTAATTATTTTCAGTGTGGTTTCATATTGGTTTGAGATTTTTTTATGCGGCATGTGAAGTAAAATATCTTTTGAAATATTCTTAGATACTTGTTTGTCATTCTACATAAATTGTGAAGGAAAATCAGATGTCTCAGTTGTCTATTTGCATCGCCGAAAAGCTTGCTACTTTACCATCTACACCCTATAAACCTTACCTGTTCAGAATAAACGATGCACTACGTAGAGAGAACAGTGAAGCATACGAACCAGAAATAGTAGCAATTGGTCCTTATCACCGCGGCAAAGTTAAGCTACAAATGATGGAAGAACACAAACTATTGTACCTGCAAGAGTTGCTTAAACGGAGAAATGAGTTGAGTGTGGATATGTATGTCATAGCCATGCAAGAATTGGAACAAAAAGCTAGAAAGTGTTATGCTGAACCCATTAAAATGAACAGGGATGAGTTTGTGGAAATGATGCTACTTGATGGGTCCTTTATAATCGAGTTATTTCGCAAGTTCTCTTGTGAAGAACAGGAACAGATAGATGACCCTATTTTTCAAGCAAGTGTCATTTGGTTGAATATACGTCGTGATCTTTTGTTATTTGAGAATCAACTTCCATTCTTTGTCCTCTCCAAGTTATTTGACATGAGCAAAGATTCAAACCAAGGAGGCCCACAAGAGAATATTTTAGTCTTAGCTCTCAAATTTTTACTTCAAGCCATTCCAGATATCTCGTATTTCAAAACGCCTGAAACTCCAGAGATCAATGACAATCATCTTCTGAGCCTTGTACATGGTATCTGGTGTTCTAGATTTGCTACAATGGTGCCTTCTCGGATTGATGCAAACCAAGAAAGGGGATGGAGTTTTATAAAATGTACAACAGGGCTTCGAGAATCTGGGATTAAATTCGTGAAGGCTACAGATAGTTTCTCGTTGTTTGATATAAAGTTCACAAATGGAATCGTGAAAATTCCCAGACTGAAAATTGTTGATCGTACTGAGTGCCTCTTCAGAAATATGGTTGCATACGAGCAATACAAAGGAAAAACTAAGCCAGCTTATGTGACTGACTACGTGATTTTTATAGATCGCCTCATCAACTCCCCAATGGATGTCAAAATACTTGATGAGTGTGGAGTTATTGATAACTGGTTAGGGAATGATAAAGCAGTTTCTTTCATGGTTAACAAAATGTCCAATCAAGTCGGTCTAAATCCTAATATGTTTAGTTATGCGGAAGTTTTCAATGACATTAACGAGCATTGTGGACGTACTTGCCATACATGGATGGCCAATTTAAACCACAATTATTTCAACAACCCATGGTCTAGCATTTCGGTCATTGGTGCTTTTGTGTTGCTGGTACTCACCGGGATACAAACTATATGCTCTATCTTACAAATCTAGTGTTATGTCCAATTTGATTTACACGCCCACCCCTCTGTTTGTAATAGAATGTATAAAGTTGTAATTATAATTCAGTCAGCTTGTTGTTTTACAAATGTTGAGTAGAATTCATGATCAATTTGAATGTTTTTTCTAAGCCATTGTATGGAGCAAACTTCCTGGTTGGTTTCTATTGAGTGGTAGACTAAGAAGATAAAGGGAAAAATTACACCTTGATCCTCTCAACTATGACCCTGGTCTCATTTTTTCCCTAAATAATTGAGTTTCTAATATTGTTTTCTCAACTACATGACTTGGTTTTTCATTATCCCAAAATCAAATGATCGTCAAGTTTTGAAAAAAAAAAATGCTCACGTGTGTAGTACAATATACATTTTCAATGTCTAAAATACAGTTGGAGGTGTAATGTGCATATTGTGACAATTGAAAGGGCAAAGTGAGACCAATAATCTTAGTTGACGTGCAATGTAAGAAAAAGTGAAAGTTTAAAGCACAATGTAAAATAAGGGACATAGTAATGAGAGTATAATATGTGTTTATAGAAGGAGAAAGGCTACTATACCTACGGCGATACTGTACCAAAAATTACAACATTTTAAGGTTAAGTTATAATTTTTTTGAGGTGAAAGATACAATTTTAAAAGGTATAATCAAATTATAGAAAGTTAGAATTGATACCGAGTTTATGATTGATCATGAGAGTCATTGATCGATTATTGTCTTCCCTCGAAAAGTTGTAACTTCTCCTTTCAAAATTTTAACTTTACAACAAAAAGTGATAGATGACAGTAGAATACTGATTTTTTTTTAGTACAGTAGACTTTCCCTTGAAGGTGAATATAAGAAAAAAATAGGTGTTTTTGACTACATTGCATGAGACGATTCAGTGGGCCCAAAATAATGTAGTGTCTAACAAACATGGATCTTGATGCTTTAGATTTATGTTAGATTTGATCATGTTTAATAGTACCATTTTTAATATACTAGTTATTGTACACGTGCATATAGTTAAGAAATGCAGAAGTATGATCAATATGATTAGGATATCTTAATCCATTATGGTTAATATCAAAGAAGCATTTCTAGGGATTGACTTAAAGGTATTACAATGAATAGGGACTTTACAAAAGCTCTTAAGAGGAAATGTAGTGGGATGCATGACTAAAAAAATAAAAAAAAATGCACCCAGTTAGCTTTTGTACAATTTCACTCCATGACACAAACAATCAAGCCCCCAAAAAAATCTATGCCTAATTTGTGAGAAAATTTGAATCTTAATAAATTAAACTACAACAGGATGTGAAGTTCCCTAGCAAAAAAGTAGAATGGTCAACAATCAATTTGTGGACCACCACGAATATCAGATAAGCAAGAATGTTCTTATATCGCCAATTTATNAAACAGGATGTGAAGTTCCCTAGCAAAAAAGTAGAATGGTCAACAATCAATTTGGGGACCACCACGAATATCAGATAAGCAAGAATGTTCTTATATCGCCAATTTATACTTGTACAACAACCATGGAATTGAAATGGTCAAGGTAGGACAACAAAATTAATAAATAAAAAACAATGCATGTTTCATGCTTTATTTGGAACACCATTATAGCCTCAAATCCCAAAAATCACGTTCTGTACCTATGAGAGCATAAAAGGCACCAAGAAACTTTTGTTAAGTGGATCCATCTTTGCAGCAATTTTGGATGACTAAAATTGAGAGGAATAAATATGTGCAGAACAATGACTTGGGGCTGCTTTGATCTTATTGACAGCAAGCAACAATTTAATCATGCTTATAGCAATGAATGGAAGATGAATTTTTACGAAGATGAGTTACCAATCCAGATAAATTAGGAAGTGTAGGTATAAGGAAAATGGTTTTGTCACGAAAACTATATTCCGCACATCCTAACACAACCATATTAATCAAATAGAAAGAAATTTTGTTAAATCTGTACCTATTCAAACGGTTCTACCAATTTCGTAATGCACGAACACAAGATTGCCTTGAGAGAGACCTGCTAGATTTTTCACCTTGTATGTTCTGTGAAAGAAGATACAAGAACAATATGAAAAACGTAGCAGAGACAACACATAAGAACAACGTGTCAATCTTCTTGTGAGGAGCATATCGACAGATCTAGTGAATCACCTCTCCTTATTTTACATCTTAGAAGGCTTATGATTAGCAACTGGGGGCTCAACCTAGTCTAAATCGACAATACAACATTATAAAAAATTGTTGCTATATGAACCCAATGAATCAATTGAACTCAATTTATCAGAGAAATCACTTCAAAATGAACTCAATTCACCTCCAAAATTTAGATCCACTTCACCAAATTAGCCCCCGTGTGGAAAAAAA